TAGCACATAACAGACTTTTAGAACTGACTTCTTATACCCAGTAGAAGCATATTTAATTTCACCCTCTTGTTTTGTTTAGCAATAATTCATTACTTCTTGTTGCAAAGTAGCATTTCATGTTACTGGGTGCATCACAGTGTGCTAATCTATTTAGTTCTCAGGGAAGTTCATGCTTCTCAGGATTGTGATGGAAGCCTCTGGAAATACACACATGCAGGTCTTTGTGAGAACATAAGTACAGTTCATCTGTGTGAGTGAAAATGTGGAAACTGGAAACAAGATTATCTTGGATTTGGGGATGGTTGACATCCCCAAATAATACCAAACCATGGTCTGTGAAGGAAGAATTGATGGGCTTGGCTTCATTAGCATCACTGTTTTCTACTCTCTGAAAATACAAGCTTCAGAATTTCAGGAAATATATATAAAAGCCACATTGGATAAAGGAGTACTAGCTAAAGTGTGTAAAAACCCAACAATAAGGAAATAAAAAAAACATTTTTAAAAAACAGGCACAAGCTGGGTGTTGGCAGCACACACTTTATTCTTAGCACTTGGGAGGCAGAGGCAGGCATATCTCTGAGTTTGAGGCCAGCCTGGTCTACAGGTTGAGTTCCAGGACAGTCAGGGGAGGGCTACACAGAGAAACCCTGTCTCAAAAAAACAAAAACAGTCTGGGCGCACTTTAATCCCAACATTCGGGAGGCAGAGACATTCCATGAGTTCACAGCCAGCCTGATCTACAAAGTGAGTTCTAGGACAGGCTCCAAAAAAAAAAAACCCAACCAAACAAACAAAAAAGGCAGAGACCTTAATAAATACATCTCCAAAGAGTGTGTCTAGGTGGCCATTTTGTCAGTCTTCCAGGAAGGGGAAAGCAACAGGGAAAAAAAAAAATCACATTCCATTAGTGTGGCAACATCCGCAGCACTCTGCAACACTGGGTGGAGGTGAGGAATGGAGCAGAGCCTTCACCCGTTGCTTGTGGAAATGTGAAACTGTTCAGTCGCTTTGGAAGGCAGTTTGGCAGTTTCCTAGAAAGCCTCTTATCATCGGACCCGATGCTTACATTACTTAGTATTTGCTCAAAGTTATTGAAAACTTAATCCACCTCAGCACCCTCATATATTTGTAGTAGCTTTATTCACAACTGCCAAGCTTGGAAATGAGCAGATGTCCTACAGTGGTGAATGTATAACTGCAGTTCATCCAGGTAGTGGGATAATTTTCAGCATTGCAAAGAATTTGCTTTATAAGCCATAGAAAGCCACAGAGAGCTTAAATGCATGTAACTAAGTTACAGACACAATGTTGAAAAGGCTGCACAATTCAGGATTCGGTGTGGCATTTTGGAAAAGAGAAGCTATGAAGATAGTAAAAGAAGGAAGGAAAAAGCTCAGGGTGTGAAAATATACAAATGTTTTACTTCATTTTCAGAAACTAGGATCATGTCACTATATAGCCAATTTTTGTTTTGATTCTTAAATGCTTAGTTTTGTAATAAAGCATTATATTTTCTAACTAAGAGCTCTTGATAGTTTGGGGTTTTCAGGAAACATACACTCCATTTTTAAAAATAAGTTTTGAAGCTATCGGAGGTATGCACTTTTGAAATGTCTTAGTAGAGGCTGTCTCATTATTTATCAGAGTAAGCTGGCTCTTCCAGATTTTATTAAAAGACCCCCTTTATCAAGCTGCTGAATTAAATGAGCACAGCAGCTAAGTAAACATTCACATTAAGCAAAGCTCCTTGTCTATTCTGGAAGCTCATTGGTATCGTCTCCAGTTCTGTTTCCTCTTGTTCTTCCTTACTTGTTTGGTATTCATCTTGTTTCCTGTACCCTGTTTGTATTCTCTGATTCAGAGTGCATGGTGCAGGAGAACTTTTGTGGAAAGTGTATGCACTAAATTGCTGCTCTGGTTGATCTTGTCTCAACAGATCTGGGATAAAACCAGCCTGGAATGTTTGAAAGTGTTAACGGGACACACGGGCTCTGTCCTCTGCCTCCAGTATGACGAGCGAGTCATTGTAACTGGTTCTTCAGATTCAACAGTGAGGTGCGTGGTCTGGCTTCATTCTCTGATCTCAAAGACCGTTCCTGAGGAGACAGATGCATACCCTCTTTAGGAATTTTTGCTGCTATAGGATCTGCTGCTATACTCTTGGGAAAATACACCTCCCTGTCCCTGATTGGCAGTGGGGTGACAGAGTCCAGCAGAGCAAAAGGGCATCATGTAGTGAAGTCTGAGATGGACTGAGGGGGACTGGAGGGACTGAGGAGCAGAAAGGAGTGGAGCGTTGCTTATTTGCAGGCACACTGCAGAGACGGGGTAGTGCTCAGCCCATCCCTGGGTTCTGTGATGTTCCCTTCCAGTTATTTGTCTCATCTCAACCCTGCCCACAGTACAGCTACTGTCTGTGTCCAGATTTGGCCTATAGGCTGCTGCTTTGTCACAGATCACTGCTCAGCCTTCAAGGTCATCTTCTGCTCTATGTCAGTGTATCCTTTAGGATATTGGTGTATTTTTTTGTTTGTTTGTTTTGTTTTTGCATGTCTCAAGTGTCATATACAAAGTGCTGTGATGAAATGCCCCAGCTTGGTTTCCAAATATAAGCAGTAGTTTTTTCAACATGCCACTGGCCAACAAAAACCTTAAGCTTGGGATTATCCTAGGCTCCTCATCTGTCAAACTCCTGCTGTTGTCTCAGACCCACTGAAAGCCTACTGACTTGAGGGATCATCTTTGTCACTTGTACAAACCTGAAGACATCCCTGAGTTAATTACTTTGAGTGTGAGAGAAACCTGAGCCCAGCTAGATTTAGCTTCTTTCTTAAAGGCATCTTAGCAGTTGTCAGAATTAAGGAGGCTGCTGCCTAGGTTCTGTTGCATACTGTGGGTATGCATACCCCATACCGTGCACCTGAGTATGGGTTCTGCTGGCAGCAGTCTGGCAGAATATACTTCAGATACAGGGGTTCTGCTGTTAGAATGCACTTGGATGCCGGGGTTCTGCTAGTAGCATCACTTGGTACACTAAGAGTGATGCTGAACCCAGACTTCACCTTTCCCTGGCTCTCACTGTCACAGCTTTCTGTTTTCTTCTAGAGTATGGGATGTGAACACGGGTGAAGTTCTCAACACACTCATCCATCACAATGAAGCTGTGCTGCACTTACGCTTCAGCAATGGACTGATGGTGACTTGTTCCAAGGACCGTTCGATTGCTGTGTGGGATATGGCTTCTGCCACTGATATCACTTTACGTCGTGTCCTGGTTGGCCACCGTGCTGCTGTCAATGTAGTAGACTTTGACGACAAATACATTGTGTCTGCCTCTGGAGACAGGACCATTAAAGTGAGTGTGTCTGTGGTCTTCACCCTGTCCCTAAACAGCAGAGAATAGGCAGAGGTGACTAGCACTAGGTGGCAAAGTCTATTCTTTATGCATTCCCATGAGACCCTCCCATTTCACATGCTTCTGGAGCCACAGGTAAGAAGAAAAAAGTCATTGGTCTCAATAGAGACCAGTTGTCAATTTCATGAGATGACATTATTGAGCCTTTGGCAGTCTTGGAACTCACTTTGTAGACCAGGCTAGCCTCAAACTCACAGAGATCCACCTGCCTCTGCCTCCCAAGTGCTAGGAATAAAGGTGTGCAACAACACTGCCTGGCTGTTAGCCACTTTTTAAGGGGCAGAGACTAAGCTGAGCATGCTGTGTGTGTGGGAGTTTTACATTTATTAACTCACCCCACCACTACCAGGATGTGGCCACCAAGGCAAGATGCTACTACAACATGACACTTATTTAGGGTGAGGGTCTGTTTCACAAACATGGCTCAAACTGGTCATGTAGAGTTTCATTTATTCTCTTCAGAGAGCTTGCTGTTGTGTATACTATTGAATATAGTTAGATGCTAGGGAAAGAAGGATGAACAAGACATGTCCCTGCTTTGAGAAACTAGGTTGGAACAGATGAGAAGCAAAATGTGACCAGCAATTGTAGACTAAGATATCCCACAGGGTATGGGGAATTTAATTCTGATTCCTTATCCCTTTTAACTTACTCATGATTAAATTGATTCTTTGATAGTTTCACACATTGTCCATACTGACCAGCCTCCTATTTCCCTAGTCTCCATTTCCCCGCAAATCTCTTTGTACGTTCATTTCTGTTCATTTTGTTCTGTGATTCATTGAGTTTGACTGGTGTTGACTAGAAACCATGGGTTTGGAGTTGTCTGTTGGAGTCTCATGGACTCAGAGGTGCTTATACAACTGTAGACGGTGACCTCCATTTCTCAGAATCTATCAGTAGCCAATAGTTCATCAGTAAGGGGTTGTGCCTTGTGAGATCCTTTTAGCCTTGTTACATATTTATTAACAGTTTTATTGATCTATATTTTCCATACTTGAAGATTTGGCTTTTCCAAATGTACTGTTAGTTCATTTACAGCTTTGTGTAGCATTACCCCCGCCTAGTTTGTAAACACTTTTACCAACAACAGTTAATATGCAGGAGAATCAACCACATGTTCCTGGCATTTAGCATTCTATCCTTATCTCTGAATTTGTCTGTTCTAGACATTTCATGTAAATGCACTTGTGTACCCTGTGGCTTTTTGTGTCTGACTCTCTCATAGTGCAGGGTTTAACATAGACCAGTGCTTTGTTGCTTCTGGTGGCCAAATGGGTTTTTACTCAGAACAAATGACACTTTGTTTCCCCTTATGTGCAAATGCACTGTTGTTTGTTTCCCTTTGCTGGCAATTATGGATGATTTTGATGTAAACATTTGCCCATTCACCTTTGCACATTCTTTTAGTTTTCTTAATTGATTAACATCCCAGGGAATTGCCAAATGGTCTTCCAGTGTGGTTGTCCCATATTACAGTCCTGCTAGCATAGTCTTGCTGGCTTTAAGAATGTCCAAATGACTAGCACTGGGCGGTGTTCTATGCGCTGGTAACTTGCCCCATAAATCATGGGCTATACCACATCAAAACTTAGGTGTCTGGAAGCTGAACAAGTAGATTTTGTGTGCATTAACTTAACTGCATCACAGTCAGGACAAGAGCAGCCCTGACAGTCAGGAGCACTTGGGCCTCATTAGAAAACACCTCTGTGGTGAGATTGTTCTGCACTCTTGCCAACACTTGTTCCAGTCTTGTTTTGATCTGTAGTTGTTGGGCGCTGCAGGAGTCTCTGGAGTTCAGCTTGTACTTTTTGGTGGCTAGTAGTGTCTTGCTTATTAGTCAGTATGTACCTGCTCTGGATAAATGTTTAAATCTTATACCCATTTAAAAACTTAGTTTTATTTTTATGGTTGAGTTTTAATTTTTTAAAAGATTTTTTATGCATTATGGAGATGAGCCCTTTAATTGGATAAACAATTTTTCTCTCATTTTTTTTACTTTATTAATATCATCCTTGGAATCAAAAATAACTTTATTTTTTGGGGGGGAGATAAGTTTGTATTTATGTACAGAAAACTTAGCAGTGAGTGTACATTTAACCCAGTTTAGTAGATAGTTCTTTGGCCTTTGACTTTTCCAGCTTGGTATTTGGAGCCACATATTTGGGACCCAGAACATTGCCTCCCCAGTTGCATCATATCTGTCTCTCATCATATCTGTTGTTGTAATTGGTTCTAATAGCTTCCACCAGCTTAGCCAGAGAATCCTTGTCTTCCTAGTTAACCTGTGTGAAGGCAATGGTGGTACATGTCTTCCTGTGGACCAGTCGTCCCAGCCTGGCTTTTTCCCTTGATGATACAGTAGGGGACTCCCATCTTCTGACACAGGGCAGGCAGGAAGACCACCAGCTTAATGGGGTCTACATTTTGGGTGATTACCACAGCTGAGCCTTCTTATTCTCCACCAAGGTGGTGACTGTATTGACTCCTGCTCAAATGGCCTCTTAGTTGGGACATCCCCCTTGTCAGCAGCCTTCTCAGCACGGGCCAACAGCCTTTGCTTCTTCTCCTGCTTTGTCTCTGGCTTGTACTTGTGGGCAAGCTTGAGCAGCTGGGTAGCTGTTTGCTGGTCCAGGGCCTGGGTGAATAGCAGAAGGTACATTAAGCTGCTTATAGAGGATGTCTCTTTGCCGCTGCAGCCGAATGTAATGGGACTATTTGACGAAGCGTGTGAGATCTTGTTTGGGCTGGATATCCTGCCCAATGCCAAAGTTCTTAGGCCTTTTCTCAAACAAAGGGTTCACCACCTTTTTGGCCTCCTGTTTCTTCACAACAGTGGGAGCTGGGGCCACCTTCTTCCTCTTGGCCTTCTTTCCCTGGGTATCTTGCTTGGCTGGAGAAGAGAGAGAAAGAGAAAAAGGAATTGTGGGTAATAGACACAAATAACTTTAGTTTTGGTGATACTCAGTTTATTTTTTTGTGATGTGTGTACTTTTGTTGTGATACCTAAGGAATCATTGCCCGATAATAGAGGTTCACTCCTTTGTGTTGATGCCCCCCTCCCTTACATAATTTTGGCTCTTCCATTTAGATCTTTGATGTATTTTGAATTAAGTTTTCCTATATGGCATGGGGTTGGGAGTCTAACTCCATTTGGAGGGGGTGGGCATAGAAATACCTGCTCATTCCATTGGGCTGCAAATGCAGCTGGCTCACTAACTCAGGAACTCCAGCAGCTGTGTGTCTCCTTGTTTGACTTACCACATAGTGAGTGTACCTGTGCTTATATCATCATGTATGGGATAGTAAGAAACTGGTGAGAAGAGGAGGATGTAGAAGGATGTAGAATGTGAAGATTTTGTATGTCAGCACATTAAGTGTGGTGTGTGAGCTTAGTGTGAAAGCAAAATCTGGCAAATACCTGAGCCTTCCAGGAGAAGTTCTCTCTGTGAAGACCTCAAAGTTTAGAGACTTCTAAACTCCCCTGTATTTCACTCCAGTTTTATTTACCTATAGCCAGGAAAGCTCATGCTGTCCAGTTTCTACCCCAGCCCATTAACCAAGAAGAAAGTTTATGGCGAGTCGACTATTTGGGATCATTCTTGGAGTGTGCCCTTGCCTTCCTACTGTGCAGCCACACTATCTTTAAGCTTGCCATCCTTCTGCCTCCACCTGCCCAGTTCTCTCTGAAGGTATTAATGGCAGGATTTGGTGTTGTCTTACTAACAGTACTGCTGTCTGTCTGCAGGTGTGGAGCACGAGCACTTGTGAGTTCGTTCGCACTCTGAATGGGCATAAGCGGGGCATCGCCTGTCTGCAGTACCGGGACCGGCTGGTTGTTAGTGGATCATCAGATAACACCATCCGGTGCGTAGAAATTAGATTTATTTATTTATTTCATTTACAAAAACCAATCAATAGAAAACAAAACCAAAAGCGTCTCTTACTTCAGAATTAGAACACATAGGAGTTTATTCCCCGTGGATCATGCAGAGGAGAAGGCTTGATGTGGCTGGTTCTTTGGTTCTGTAAGACACTGCACAGCCAGTGAGTCTGAGACCCAGCCTTTAGGAACTAAGCAACCCTGGTATCTAGTACACACAAGGCACTCCACTGAGTTTCATCAGGGTTGGGGAACACTGGGATTAGAGACCCTGGCTGTGTGTGATCTCCCTGTCCTTCCTTGCTAGACATGTTTTTTACTTTCCTGCTCCAAGCCCATGTCTTCTCTGGGAAAGCTCTTCCAAAACCACCTGACTCTGTGGATTTATCAGCTGAGATACCAGGAGAATTCCAGGGACTAAGCATAATTGAGTTGATTTAAAAATAAAATGCCTTTTAAAAGTTTCAAATTACATAAAACAGAATATAACAAAGTGAGGTTTCTTGCGATATGAGCCAGGAGTGAGATGGGAATTTGGAATTCAAGGAGAATGAACAGTCTTACCCATGTGGAACAGGTGTACAGAACTTGAGGAGGGCGTGAGTCATGTGAGAATTTGTTTCATAGCGGACTGTTTCTTGTTTAAGGCTATGGGATATTGAATGTGGTGCCTGTCTAAGAGTCCTAGAGGGGCATGAAGAATTGGTCCGATGCATCCGTTTTGATAACAAGAGGATTGTCAGTGGCGCCTATGATGGGTATGTGTTTAGTCTGCACATGCATGGCTATAGCCTTCTTAGGAACAAAACTGCTATCTGCATGCTGGACTCTGTGTGAGAAAGATCTGTCATACCAATGGGTCAGGTGAGGATGCCCAGACTCAGAAAGATGAAGTAAGCTTGCTTCAATCACCATAGCCAGGCACTTGAGTTCTAGCTTATGTTCTAACTCTTACTAGAAATATAAAGGGTAGGACCTGCAAGATGGCTCAGTATGTGGAGGTGCTTGCTGTGCAAGCCTAGCAACTGGAGTTTAATTCTGGAATCCCTGGTGAAGAAGAGAACTGACTCCAGATCCGTGTGCATATGAATATGCATGGGAGCATGCACACAAATTAAACTATTGGAAATTGTGTTCTTCGCCTTAATTATAAATAAACCAAGAACACCACTACCCCTCCCTCTTTTCTTCTTTTGTTCTCAATGACAAATGGAAGCTATAAGCCCCAGTCCTGCCTTATATATGCTTGGTCACTGGGCATTAGTGCTCTAACCATTTCTTCATTTGGAGAAAGGCATCCTGAGAATCTTGTACTCAGTCCCCCAAGTAAAGAATTTTGTGACATAGATAACTAATTACGAAATGAATTTGGTAACCAAAAGTCCCCTATCTGTTTATCTCCTTAATAGTAACATCCCTTCAAAGTTTCAGGAGCTCTGGGAAGGTTTAGGTTCTTTTTCCAAAATTAGATACTCAAAATCTAAGTTCAAAAACTCAGAAACACCAGCATGGTGCCCACTGGGTTTGGTGAAGACTTGCAGGTGCATTGTGTCTTGTCATGGATATGCCCACTGTGTAGACAGGATTAACTTTTGCATTAATCCCAGTCTCATTTTCCCTTGTAGGAAGATTAAAGTCTGGGACTTGCAAGCTGCTCTTGACCCTCGGGCCCCGGCAAGCACATTGTGTCTTCGCACCTTGGTGGTATGTGATTTATTTGGGTGGACGGGTACCCAGGAAAGCTTGTGTCTTGTACCATGCTTTCAGATATTCATGGGTGATTTTGGCCAGTCAGGATGTAGCACCTTTACATACTGCAGGGTCTTCTGTAGGCTGGCAGGCATCCTCATAGACTACTACATTCCTCATGTAGCTTTGGAGTCTTTAGTGTGTGGCTTCAAATTTTATAACTGCACAGTTGTGTACTGTTAAGGTAGAAAGTCTTCATTATAGATTATTGCTTTGGCACATAAAATAGCACTTTAATTTTTAAATTTATTTTGAATTAATAAATAATTGTGTATTGTTAAAAGAGTATGGTGTGATATTTTGGTCTATAATATATATTATAGAAATACTGTCTACTAATTGATCTATCAGTTTTAGGGTTTTTTTTGAGTGTGGTAGAAATAGTAAAAATCTGTTTTTAAACCAAGTGTGGTAGTTCAGACCCATAATCCCAGCACTTGGGAGATAGAGGCAGGAGGATCAGGAATCTAAGGTCATCATCCTTGGCTACATAGTGAGCTTGAAGCCAGCCTGGGATACATAAGACTCTATCTCCCACCTGTAAAACCAAAACCAAACAAACAAAAAAATCAAAACCACTCTTCATAAATTCTGAAGTCTACAACATTTTGCTTTTTACTGTGGTCACTCTAGTTCAGTGGATAATTGACAGGGGTTCTTGCAGTCTGACTGAAACTTTGGACCCTTTGATGAACATTGGATTCAGCCTATCTTTCTCCATCCAGTCTTTCCCCATCTTCCACGCTGATATCCTTTTTGCCTCATTCTGCGAGAGTCATAGTCTGTGGGATCATTGTTTTCCTGTGCCTGGCCTATTCCATTTAGGTTTTTTTGTTTTGTTGTTGTTTGTTTTTAGAGATAGGGTTTCTCTGTGTAGCTTTGGAGCCTACCCTGGTACTCCCTCAGGAGACCAGGGTGGCCTCGAACTCGATCCGCCTGCCTCTGCCTCCCGAGTGCTGGGATTAAAGGCGTGCGCCACTAACGCCCAGCTTCCATTTAGTTTAATGGCAGAATATCTTGGTTGCTTTAAGAACAAACAAATAATTTGATTCATCAGTCTTTTGTAATATTACCAAAGCTGTTGATATCTAATTCTGTGGCTGATTCTGTTGGATTCTTTTTTCTTGATAAGGCATCTGAAAACAATGATGGACTTTTCTTGAAAATTTTCAGCAGTTTTGTTATTTCCTAAAAAATTATTTTTAGATCTGGGTTATATATATATATATATATATATATATATATATATATATATATTTCATCTCCATATATAGTTTTTTTTTTATTTGTGTAAATGTTTTACTTGTGTGTACATTCACCTTGTGTATGCCTGCTGTATCCCCTGGAACTAGAGTTATGGATGGTTGTGAGCCACTATGTGGGTGCTGGGAATTGAGCCTGGGTCCTGTGTAAGAGCAACAAATACTCTTAACTACTGAGCATTTGCTCCATACCCAATGATTGTATTTGCATTTTCTTATTTCCTTCATTGACTAGACCAGGCAGGCAGAACTGCGTGGTGAGGGCCACTCTTGCTTTCACTATGAGTTTTGATGTCTGCTGTGGTTTAACATAGATAGATGTTCTTGGTTATGTTTTTAAAAAATTTTAATCGTAGCTGGGCAGTGGTGCCACTCAAATTTAATCCCAGCATTCAAGAGGCAGAGGCAGGTGGATCTCTGTGAGTTTGAGGCCAGCCTGATCTACAAAGCTAGTTCAAGGCTGGCCAGGGCTGTTACTCAGAGAAACCCTGCCTCCATAAACCAAAAACGATTGTAGCAGCTTCGCCCTTCTGATTTCTGGTTTTATAGCATATCCAGAGTGGATATTAACTGATGGCATCTGTGAGGTAATCACATAGCTTTTCTTCCGTGACATGTTACTAGTCCACAATGTAGGACATAATGTTTATAACTTTTAAAAAAGGGAGGGAAGGAAGGAAGGAAAGAAGGAAGAGGGGAAAAAAAAAAAACCTAGAAGGCAAAGCCGAGCATTTGTTCTCAGAAAGGACATGGCTCAGTGGTTGGGAGTCGTGCAGGAAGCTCAGATAAATGCTGACTTTGCGGCCTGAGTTAAGTCCTGGCTCTGGAGGTAGAGGCTGTAAAGATGGTACTGTTAATCAAGCTCATCTTCCACAGGAACACTCTGGACGTGTGTTTCGACTGCAGTTTGATGAGTTTCAGATCATCAGCAGTTCCCATGATGACACTATTTTGATTTGGGATTTCTTAAATGTGCCTCCCAGTGCCCAGAATGAGACACGCTCTCCCTCCAGAACCTACACCTATATCTCCAGATAGCGGTCTGCACTTTGGCCCAATCTGGTGAGTGTGTTCAAACCCCTGGACTCTTCAAGGCTTTGCTTCTGGTCTTTACCTTCTTTCTGGGAATTCCTTGGTGATGTGAACAAGCCTTTTCTGGACCTAACAGGTCTCACAATAAAACCCTGCGCACTGTGGACTCTCACATCATTGTTAACAGGTGATGGATGTGGTTGCTGTCTTGAAAACTGGCTTCCTAAGTGATTTCCTAAATGGTCATGGCCATTACACTCCAGGATAGTTATTCAGGTTTGATTTTGGAGTGCAGGAATCAACATTTTTTTCCTGGTCCTTTGGTTCTGTGGCTGTCAGATGCACATACACACGTACATGCACACACAAGGACAATCCAAATTCCTCTTCTTCCCACCACCACAGTCCATTGCTGTCTCCTAAAGAGAGATCACTGATGTGTGTGTCAGCCTTGAAAGCCATGCTTCATGGTGAGGGCAGCAGGTGCTTTAGGAAGCAAGTCCTTAGTTCTAGTTACAGAGCCATTGCACTGTTGCTCAGTTTAGAAGGATGAGAGATAGCCAATTTGCCCATATCCCAGATACCCATGACTACTAAGAACAGCATTCCCAACTTGAAGATTTGCCAGGGGCTACTGGATTCTGTGCACATCATACTTTGGAGACTTATACCCACCCATACTTGTGTGATATGTGTGTATAAAGACTTTGGTTAAAATTCTCTTGATTTAAAAGCAGTACTTAATTCTTTGTATTTTTTTAAAATAGTTTTTTCTTTTTTTATTAAAAAGTGCAAAACATCCATGTGTAAAACTGAGAAACTGTGGGGATGGAAAGATCAAGAACCCCTAATACCAAGTCATGCAAAGTCTTAGTCAGTTAAATGACTTTCAAGAAGTTTACCTTGCTCAGGGCTAACACACTGTAGTCAAGCGCTGAATTTGACCTTCTGTATGCTTTGTTTTTCTGCCATTCCAGGCCAAAAATAGTTCTTATATTTTAAACACTTGAAAAAGAAAATTTGATGCCATGTAAAAATTATATGATATTAAAATTCCAACCTCTATGAAGTCATTTTGATTGGAGCATAGTTACATTCATTTGTTTACATTTACTGTGATGGCTTCTTGTGCTTCAGTGACAGAATTGAATAGCTGGGACAAAGTTCACACTGCCTATGTAACATGTCAACCAATTCCTGTGTAGTCCTTTAAGAATAAAAAATCTGCATCAAGAATGGCAGATCTATGCTGCTTTGGACAGCTCCCTTTGATCAATAGTGCTAGTTGAGGGGAATAGCTCTCCGACCCCAAATGACTGTAAGACATGGTGGGCTGGTGATACCTGCTGTGTGTGTGTGTGTGGGGGGGGGCATCAGCATCAAGGACCTGAGAGCCACTCAAATGTTTACTGCTCCTGGTCTCCCATGTGTTAACACTGTGCTCACACAGTCATCTACTCACTCACTACTTTCTCTTGGAAGATTCTTTATAAGTCCATTGAAAAATCCACCTGGCAGAATCTTGTATTCATTAAGTGAGATCTTCAGAGCACACACACAGAGGCAGAAGGCATGGAGCTCTTGACTGGTCATAATCAGAAAAGCCTAAGGAGCAGGGTGTTGAAGGTGTGGCCTCCCTCCTTGTCTTCCGCTTTCCTTCTTGAGCCTGCCTCTTGTTCCTCTCTCCCTGCCTGCCTTGTCCTTAATGTCTGTTCTCTTTCTTCTTCAGGGTTTCCTGGTCTTGAACTACTGGCTACATGGCTACCACATGCCTAAGGGAGTTCGTTCACAGCTGAGTTCTGGGGCTGGAATTGGTTCTAGATGCTGGGTAGACACAAAGCAGCCCCACTCTTCAAGCCCCAACGTTTCTCACCGCCCCCGGCTCTACTTGGAGAAGGACAGCTTAGCTCACCAACTGCAAGTAGAGCAGCCGCTCATGCCCCTCCCTCCAGTGAAGAGCCCAACTCTTCCTTCCGATGCACATGCTCACAGGAAGGACACATGGCTTGTTCTTCAGAAGCAAGGCGACCATCGGGTGAAGACTGGCCTCTAATTCACATCGCTTTGCACCTTGGTTTGGTACTAAAAACAGCATTGCATTTTTGGTGAAGTGTTGGGCGTTCAGGGCTTTCCTCTCCAGCAGCAGCAGCAGCAGCAGCAGCAGCAGCAGCTTCTCTTTAGACCTTCAGGTCATCGTCGTTCTGACGAACATAGGAATGTGTCGGACAATGGACAGCTCTGGATTATTTTAGTATTTTTGGATTACACTTCCTTTCTGTACCGGTTTCTTTTAATTTAAAGAATAAGCAAGTTATATTACCTCTCCATAGGTAATATAGCTATTTTCTTTTATTAACTGTTCTGTTCCCTCATCATTTCCTGATATTTGGTAGAGTAACACCTTTATCCACGTGCTTGCCTCCTAATTTAAAATACTGTACCCGCATGTAGATATAATGTACATAACAATTCAAGCTCAAGGTTGCCGTGTAGGGCCCCCTGCATGGAGACACTGCTGTGGAGTGTTGCTCTTAGCAGGAGGTGGGCCTGAGAGCCTGACTCCAAGGTTGCTGTGATTTCCTAGAACCTTCTGCAGTATTCATTTGCGTTTTATTTGTCACTGTCCTGTGTGCGCTGTTTTCAGATGGAACTTCAGAAGTTTAACATGGTGTTTATTTGTTTTTTGACATCTGCAGTGGACAGGTAGCTTCGCAATCTACCTGTCACTGTGCTTTTCCTCATGAGTACCCCTCCCGAGAGCTAATGGTCACCTCATCATGGTGATCTTGGCTTCTCTGTCCAACATCCTTCTATGTGGCAGTTACCCTGAGGCAGGGAGAAGGCAGCCCTGTTGACGGGGCTCCTGGCTTTGGGCTCTGTGCACTCTGGCAGGGTGTTGGAGTCAGCTGCTGAGTGAGAGCCTGCGGAGCAGGTGAGCTGTTCAGAGCCACATTAAGGGCAAGGCACTCCTGTGTGGAGCATAGCCTCAGGCCCGTCAGCTCTGGTGCCACTCATCACTCAGTTCTCAAAGCTCCGAGTGGGAGGGGGCACACAGAAAGGACATTGGTCAACATTGTTTCCCTCTTTCAAGATTAGGTTTTGATTTGCCCCTCTCCATTGTTTCCAAAGATCAAGGAATGTCAGTACCCTTTCAAAGGACCAACCAGCCCTCCCTGTGAATGGAGCCTCTTCCCATGGAAGCACACTCTAGGAGAGAGAAGGCCTCTGGGCTCCACTTGGCCTTGCATTGTGAATGCTGTGGGGATCAGTGTGTGTTGGTGATTTGTTTACTGGGTTGATGTTGCTTTTTAGTTGTTGGTTTCTTTTCTTTCTTTTTTCTTTTTTCTTTTTTTTTTAATACATCATTCTCACATGCTTCTACATTTGTTTCTGAGAGGTGGGGGCTCAAATGTATACAAAGTAGTCCCCTGTCTATAAGGGGAGTGTGGACACACCACTCACAGCTCATCATCCATTTGACAGGAATGCCCAGGGGATAGGGAGGGGGAGGGGAGGAAGTGAATTCTGAACAATTGGACTTTTCTGTTGTTTTTGCATGTTAAATATAGAAGTTCGTGTCCATCCTTGGGAGATCATGGCCTTCAAATATGCACACGACCTTTGAATTGTGCCTACTAAATTATAGCAGGGGACTTGGGTACCCAAGGAATTCCAATTTCTGGGATTACAGTAGTAATTCCCAGTTGTACTCTGGACTTTATTTTGCTAACCGTAATTGAGCAACTGTAAATTACTGCTATATTAATGTGTTAAAGCACTGGGGTAGTCTAATTCTAACTGGTAATTAATTATGTTTGCCAATTATCTGTTTGAAATAAATATGTGTCTGAACAGCTATTGAAACTGTTAAATTGTACAGATATTATCATGACGGCTTTGTACTGTGGAATGTGCTTAATAAAAAAGTTTGACCTTTGTCCAATAAATTGCTAAGTAATGTCAGTAAATCAAGATGAGTATTATGCAGTACACCTGGCCTGGCTTCATGGCCTTTGTTACTTCAGCTACTAATTCAAAGCCAATACTCTCAATAAAGTGTTGCAGTACTCCACTGTTCCGTTACATTTTTCAGAAAAACAGTTTGGTGCCATCAGGAATTTAGTGACATACCTACAGGCGGATTTTCAAAGTCATCTGGTCTAGATGGTAAAGGTGAAGATGTTGTTTGTTGCCTGTGGAATTTCTCACCTTCCGCCCTCCCAGAAAGCTTCGAGAGCCCAGGGCTCCTCCCCAGCAGATCTGTGTATCGGGTGTGCATGAGTTCTTCATAAGCTCTGCAGAATAGGAAAGAGGCCCCAGGTACTTCCAGGTGAGTGAGAGGAGCCTTCCTCTTGAAGTGGTGTGCATGATGGCACTACAGATGCAGGAAGTGAGCTTGTCATGAGAGTGGGCTTTTTGAATGAGATAGAACAGTAAGAAAACTAGTTTAAAACCCTAAAAGTACAGAATGCTGCTTCCCCCACTCTAGGCCCCACACCCTTTTTTTTTTTTCTGGTGATCATTCCACATCATTCTTGTTCAATGGCTTAGTATTTGCTTATAAGGATATATCTTTTTGACAGTTCAATTGAGAGTGGAGATTGGCTTGTTTCTTGCCCAAGTGTTAAATACAGTAAAGCTGTCCCCTGTGGTTTGGGCTAGTCCTTAGGAGCAACAAGGGATAAACTCCCAGTGTGGCCTTGATGAAGGAAGGCCCAGCCTGGGTGGTCCTGGGTTCTATAGGAAAGCAGGCTGAGCAAGCCATGAGCAGCAATCCTTATGGCCTCTGCATCAGCTCCTGCCTCCATGCTCCTGCCTTGAATTACTGCCCTGACTTCCTTCAGTTGATGAACAGTGATAAAAATTTTAAATAGAATAAACCCTTTCTTTCCCAACTTACTTTTTAGTCACAATGTTTTATTACAGGAGTCTAAGACACCTTCTGACCT